TCAGTCCATACAATTATGAACACTGTGGTATGACATCACAGTCCATACAAATATGAGCACTGTGTTGTAACATCACAGTTCATACAAATATGAACACTGGTATGACATCACAATTCATACAAATATGAACGCTGTGGTATGACATCAGTCCATACAAATATGAATGCTGTGGTATGACATCACAATTCATACAAATAGACAAATATAAACACTGATATTTATACCATAAATACAACAATTGTGGCAAGCCAATGTGTAGATTTATCTACCTTAGCCCCTAATTCCATCATTCTTCTTTTTCTTGGTCCTCCATCTGCTGCCTTGCTATACTTGAAATGGGGTCTGCAGTAAAAACGACCTAAAATATAAGATGAAAACTGATTTTTTTAAGTAAGGTATATTGCATCACAATTGATTGAAGAAAGCTTAGAAAGAAGTCCCGTGTGCTGATGATATTGGAAGCAGGGAGTGAAATAAGAAATACTGACAGTATATACTCTATGCATAATCATATATGCAGAAGAGTTACACTTTTTTTCCATAATTACATCTAAAATACATATGTATTTTAAAACATTGACCTCTGACCCAGCAACCTTTTTTGCAAAGCATATCGTTTGTTTGTTATGGTCAAAGTAGAAACAAGAATTTGATATTTTTTTTAATGGAACACTGATAAATCATATCAGAAATAATTATTCCTTGAATTGTTGACTCAAAATAGGTTCTGGATTTAATTTTATGAACAAGTCATGAAACCAATCCTCAACCTTCATTACACCTGTAGATGAAACACATTCTGCCACAAATTTGGCAACAAATCCTACACAGAATTAAACTGCAATAGTAAACATTCTTTCAGTTTATTTATCACTGTCTTCCGTTCCATTATCTTGATGTATGGCTTATTCTGTTGAATGGTACTTGAGAAACAAATCAAAATGCTTCAAATTGGCTATTTAATGTGGAAATTAGGTAATTAATATGCACAGATTGCAATCAAAAACTAATCAGGTGAGTGAATTAACCCTAAGTTTATATGTACTAAGTTTCATTGAAATCTGTTTAATAGTACTTGAGAAACAATTTAAAATGCTTAAAATTGGCTAATTAATATGGAAATTAAGTACTGTAAAAGCGTTAATTATTCACTGGGTTTTAATTTTGCTGACTGGAAAATGCGCTAAATTAAACCCAGTGAATATGTAAAATTTAGCATAGAATACATTATCTTAATGATAAAACCGTAAATTTAAAATCCACTGAATATGCCTGAAATAGTAAATCAGCAAAATTTAAACCCAGTGAAAATTAGTCATTTTACAGTAATTAATATGCACAGACTGGTCTTATTCACACTCATTATATGGCTAAACAGATGACAACTGACTGACCTAACAAAGTCTCATTAGGTAGCAAATAAATTAACTAGTGACTGACCTTCCAACTTATTCTCATTAGGTGGCATATAAAATGCATAGTTTCCAATTCGCAATGTAGTATTACAATATGAACACTTGAAACATCCACGATGAAAGAAAAGACCTTCAGCACTGAGTCGCTCCATGACATAAACTCTTTTACAACAGAAGAAGCAGATGTCACTTCCTCCTGCACTGCTACCAGTAAACTGCTTGGATTTCTATGTAAACATAAAGATCACAGAGAAGCAGTTAGACAACTTGTTACATTGTTACCAATAATAGCAATGATCAAATCTCATCAATGAGACACTTTTTTCATCTTGGAAAATACATAACAATGACATAATTTGCATAAATTATCATTTAAAAAAGTAGTGTATGGAATTTATTCAATGGAGTTAGAGGAAGCAGGTACATGTATCAAGCAACAATTCAGTAAAGAATAGGTATTGGAAGAGGCTTATCATGGCACACATATCAGCACATGCCAAGCAGAAAGATAAAAAGCAAACAGAAACATAATTATAAATTACTTGATGTTTAAAACTGGAATGTCAGTGCACACACCAGACTAGTCAGAGGTCAGAGGATTCCCACAATGCAACATTCACAAGTAAAATAAGTGGAGGATGCATACAAAATAACTAAACACCTGAATGGGATATTACTTACTGGTTGTTGGGAACCCCACCAAGATGTTCTTTGCTTTGGTTCTTTTTGTTGGTCCTCAGCCCGAGTGCTCTTCAATCCAGCTATGTCACGAAACTTAGAAAAGAGCATTCTGTCTGCAATGTTAAGTTCTGTAAGAGGTTCATCTTGATTGTCGTCTTTCGAAGTGTTATCTTCTTCAACAGGTTGAAATCTTGCCATTAGAATATCATAAATTGAGCCTACACCAGTAGTTACATTTGTCTTCTCAGGTTGTTTCTGTCTTTCTTGCATGTCAGACAAGAAACGATCTGTTGTCTCCTGTAACTGTCCTTCAGATATCTGCGTTATTTTTTTGGGTTCAGCTGTTTGTTTAGCCATTTCTTCCACCTTGGCAAGTAACTGATATGTCATAAACTGTACTTCAGTAGATGATGCAGAACTAGCAGATTTTGACTTTTCAATCGATGGGTTAGAAATCTGCTCAAATTTGTTCAAAATCTGGCCGGCCATATCATGTACCTGTCTGTGTGACAGAGCACCTGTATCAACTGGTTTTTTAGCACCATGTGTAGCCCGTTTTGGTGGTTCTTTAATTGTTGGTTTCTCTCCAGATAGTTCTTTAAATTTTGCTTGTAGTTGTTGAGCCTTGACACTGACACTCTTTTTACTGGGTGTAACCTGTTGAGCTGCTTCTTTCTCGATGGCAATCTGTTGGCATTGCTCAAGTAAATGTTCAGCCATTCTGTTAATATGTCCGGTAGGTTCACTACAGGTATGTTGTTGTCTTTGTTTTTCTTTAAATTGTGTCAATAATGTGTCAGACATTGCTTTTATATGGCTTAATGATCGCCTCCTATCGAGCACCAGCTCAGGATGCTGTACTGCTGTCATGGCAGCAAATTTGTTATGAAGTTCTTCCGCAAGTTCTTTGATTTTACCCTGCTGTTGGGGACTTACTTGAGGGCGCTGTTCACCTGCAACTGGTTTAGGAGACATACTGGTGATATCTTTAAAGTTGTTTTCCAGTTTAACAGCCATATCTTTGATATGGTAATGAGTGGACACACTAATTTGTGGCTTGTCTATTGGTTCAATGTCAGCTGACTCACAACCAGCAAGCCTATTGAATTGATCCTGTAATAATGTAACCATTTCCTGTACTTGATCACCATATCTTGGCTCCATTTGACTGCTATCTGCTTTCTGAAAATGTGCTCGTAGCTGCTCAGCCATATCCTGTATCTGTTTGTTTTTACTTGTCATTGATCGCTTTCCCTCTAATTGGGACTGATGTTTCTGTCCAGCCAATACCTCAAACTGTTCATATAACTGCTCTGCCATTGTGTTGATAGGGCTTGAATGGGATGATCCAACAACAAATGACTGGTGAAAAAAAACAGTATCCTTAACATACAGGAAATTAAAAAAACTATTCTAAGCTACCACAATCATGGACACTGTAGGGTTCTATAGTGCGCCATGACAACAATGGCTACCTCATGACAACAACAATGGGTTTCACTGGACAACAACAATAGTTCCCTCACAACTCTATTCTGCCCCAAAAATATCACAACACATAAAACCAAAGATACTATCAGACAAGAGTTAAACCTTTCAACACTAAACACCAGTAAAGAAAAACCTGATTCAACAATTTGATTCAACCAGTGCAATGAAACTGTCTAAACTAAACACTAGTACAATGAAACCTGTCTATACTAAACACCAGTACAATGAAACCTGTCTATACTAAACACCAGTGCAATGAATCCTGTCTAAACTAAACACCAGTACAATGGAACCTGTCTATACTAAACACCAGTACAATGAAACCTGTCTAAACTAAACACCAGTACAATGAAACCTGTGTATCTAAACACCAGTACAATGAAACTTGTCTAAACACCAGTACAATGAAACCTGTCTAAACTAAACACCAGTACAATGAAACCTGTCTATACTAAACACCAGTACAATGAAACCTGTCTAAACTAAAACAAAAGTACAATGCAGTGCAGTGTCTAAATTAAATAAGAAACCCCGACTAAATTAAACACCCGTAATAAGAACGCTATAAAAACTAAACTGATGCGGAGAGTTAGGGTTGGTGAGGGAGAAGATAATTTTGGAAAGGGGAGGTGGTTTTGAAAGGGAAGTGAAATCTCAATAGTGTATCTATTTTTTTATGGAACATATTAGTGCACATTGGAATAGAGATTTACAAATTGTTACACGGAAACTACAATAGGCTCTGCACTTAAGTACTAGTATTAAAGGTGTGATTCTAATAAAAAAAATACGGTACATGTACTTCTATTGATGGTGTGCTTCTAATGGAGAAAATACTGTAACTAGATTAAAACGAACTATATGATATTGATGGAGGTGTACATAACATTCCAGTTTGATGTCCATTTTAAGATGATATGTTGGTCATAATTTTGAAATGCTTTTAAAAATGAGTGCTTACTATTAACTATTGGTGCTGGAAGAAGGTGCAAGAAATGAAGTAGAGAATCTTATATAGTTAACCAACCTGTAGAGATAATAAAATGGTCCATACATATACATGTACGCCAGAAAATATATGGAACACAGCATTTATTTTGGGGGTGGTAGATCGATAGTGTACTTACAGGTCTATTGACAGCTTTACTAGGGGTCTGTTTGACTCCAGCTATCTCTTGGAATTGTGCAAACAAGCTATTCGCCATTGCACTGACTTTATTGGCTCCTCTAACACCCACATTAAGGTCTTCTCTCTTATCCCACAGCTTGGCTTCATTCTCTGCATTGAGTAAGTCTTCATGATAACGACGAGCTATTTCCTGCTAGTGGGAATAATGCAGAAATATCAAAACACATGTCAGAACAACAGGATTAGATGTAGGATTTTGGTAGCACTGTATACTGTGACCGTATTTCACAACACTCCATTCCATTCTATTCAATTCTATTCAATTCCATTCAGCAATAGCATTCAGCAATGCCATAACTCATAACATAGCAATGACTCAGAAATGCAACAACTGAGCAATGTCTTGATAATTTAGATAACTTTGATTGGCTAAAAGACAAGAGAATCTCACATACCCTCCTTCTACTCCCGCCAGCAGGACTTTTTCGTTGATTTTCTTTTTCTTCTCGATTACCATAATCCTTCTCTCTTCTAGGTGATTTCTTTTGAGACAACTTTTTATTTAATCTAGTGAGAAGAGATAATCGCTGTGCTTTGCGACCGGGGATGAATTCTTCTTCTGGAAGGTCAACTTGTTCTGAAAGCATAATGACATTGTGAGTTTGGGAAGAGAAACTTTTGAGTACAGTTGTAGATTTCACCAGTTGTACATGTACTTGAAGCAGCCTAACACACACACACACACAGACTGGTACTTACTGACAGTTTCTAATGGTAGTTCATCTTTGAATATTTCATAAAATTGTGACAAATAAGCGACCATAGTAAGCTTATCTGGTTGACTTAAGGAGGCCATTTCTTTACCAGTCATTACTGGTGTTATACCAAACTCTCTCTCAGCGATATCAAATGCCAACTGGTTGTTTTCAGCAACCTCTTCTGCCTTCAGGCATTCATAATTTCTGTAATATGTAAAATATAACCATATTTCAAAAGAAAGTAGGTTTAATGTACAAATATTTCAAAACCATGTGCCCCCATATATCAACAATGAACATTTATTACAAGTTTCTGCAGCCAACAAAGATTTTTACAGCCTGTTTTTTGTTGTTGTAAATAGTGTACATTGTATGTGTATGAATGGGGCTAGGCTACCTTCATTAAACAAGGTCTACTAAATAATTAAATAATAAATATATAACATTAAGAGAAATGCATTTGATAGTCAGCTAAAGACCTAACATACTTACATAAGATCAGGTCTAAATCTTTGTATAATTGCACATAAGAGAAGACCATTCTTCCAAGATGATGTAATGTTATCTACTTGTATACCAGGATAATTCTCAACAGCCTTCTGACACCACAATAATAGTTTACTACTACGAACCACGGAACCTACAAATAATCAAATCAAATAAATAATAACATAATATGCACAGTCATACAAGGTTACTCGATTTGATCTATGTGTTTAGAGAATAACTCAATATTCACAGTTAATCCATGGCTCTACAATTGCCACTAGTTAATCTATGGCTCTAGAATTGCCACTAGTTAATCCATGGCTCTAGAATTGCCACTAGTTAATCCATGGCTCTAGAATTGCCACTAGTTAATCCATGGCTCTAGAATTGCCACTAGTTAATCTATCACTCTAGAATTGCCACTAGTTAATCCATGGCTCTAGAATTGCCACTAGTTAATCCATGGCTCTAGAATTGCCACTAGTTAATCTATCACTCTAGAATTGCCACTAGTTAATCTATGGCTCTAGAATTGCCACTAGTTAATCCATGGCTCTAGAATTGCCACTAGTTAATCCATGGCTCTAGAATTGCCACTAGTTAATCCATGGCTCTTAAATTATGTGCATTAAGGTAGTTTTTGACAAAATTGGTCATGAATCGCATGACAATGTTCATTAGTTTATTACTATGTACAGTTAAGTTTTTTGAGAAATAATATTTCTTGAAAATTGCTATTTTTAGAACAATTCCATAGAACACAATGTTAAAGAAAAATTGCATTTTTTGACACTTTTTAAAACCAAGATTTTTAAAATAATTCAGAACAAAAAGTTCTCCATTATTAACAATATATGATTTTTTCAGCCGATGTCACCAGCCTAGATTTTGAGATATTGCATAATATCTCTGCCATAGGAACCTATGGTAAAAGTATTATGATAGTGCCAAAATGGTGACTTTCCACTAAAATACAACCATCAATTTCTTGAAAATAAGGCTGGTGACCCTAAACTTTTTTTAAGTCAATATCCTTATATTGCCTTGGAGTACAGTTTATTGCAAAATGAATAAATTCTGGGTTTTTAAATTTATGAGTAGGCTTCTACCTTAAGGTTCAATGTTGTCAAGTTTGAATGCCATTGATCCAAGCACAGCCAAGAACCTGTTCCGGAATAGCAGAAATTAATGTATTTTTAGTCAAAAATGGCTGCCAGCTGGAAATCTTGAATTGAACAAATGCATGTGTATATTTGTGGTATAATGTATTTATTTGAAGCAGATTGGGCTAGTCTAAGACACACTTATAAATGCAGAGGTGAATCTACAAATTCACATTTTAGACTCATCTTAATGGTGTTTAACAATAATGTACTGCACACAGATTGGATAGGAAAGTTGATTATAGTTACTGTAGTGTGCATGCCTGCAGGTGGATAGAATCAACTACAGATTCATTAAGGCAATTAAGACCATTAATGTCATTGCGATCAAAAATGTACCATCTATTTTGTCAATCCAAAACCCAACTGGTGGACATGTACTAATGCATAGTACACACTAAGTTGATGAATGTTTAAGTTGATACATACTTTATTTTAGTTCATTTGTCAGAAACCACACAACACCAGTGAATGAGAATAATAATTACATAATGATATGTCCAAATATTCACAATGGTATGTGATCAATGACAGTAAGTGTCATTATAAACAAGCCATGCATGGATGGCACAGTCCCCGTTAGTTATCAAATTTAAGATATATAGTTTTGTTTAAGTAATATAGCTGGAATATAACCATGTCAGGAATATGATTTTTTAACATTAAAATGATTGACATTTGTATCTGATCGTCAAACAAGTACTTGTCCATATTGAGAGATATTGCTCTGGAACAGTATTCAAAATCAGCCATTTTGAATACATGTATATATATAACATGATGTATAACGAATATAATCAGTCAAAGCATTTAAGAGATATGGCTCTAAAAGCCCAATCATTAAAACAAAATGGCCGCCAGTCAGCCATTTTGAATCCAATCTGAAAAATAAAATGACGTGCATCAGGAACCCGTAATGTCTAATGTATGTACCAAGTTTGAACGAAATCCATCCATAAATGCCAGAAATGCTTGATATTTGATGATTTTCTAGCACAAAAATGACCACCATTCGGCCATTTTGAATAGGATCGTCAAACCAATATATCTGTTTATCTATGACATGATGTATAATGAATATTTAAAATTTGAATGTAA